CCAAATGCCCCATCTCCAAATGTCATCACGTTGGGGGTTAGGGCTTAAAAATATGAATGGGAGGAGGGTGGGAATGGAGACAATTCAGTCTATAGAAAATCTCAACATAAAAACGTTTAATTATAAATCCAGTGGGGAACTGAGGGTAGAATACATAGGAGAGCAGAGATCTGGCTCCCAGAGGACCTCCTGAAAGGTTAGGTAATGACAGAAAAATAGCTAGTTTCATGGGTATGTTTCAAAATGATATTATCAGCCAATTTCTGTTTACTGGGTACCAAATGGCCCCAGAGAAAAGAGAGAAGGGAAGAAAGAGAGGAGAAATGTAGCAGGAGACATGGCCTCTGCCCTCCGAGATCTTAAAAGAGGAAAGCGCAGCTGTAACAGACACTACACGGGCCCGTACTACAAGTGAAACAACAGTACAGGAGTTCAGAGGAGGACACACCTCAGGACAACAACCCAAGGGAAGGACTTCACACAAAGAATGGAACTTAATGGAAGAAGGACATTCTAGGGAGAAAAGATGTGATTAAAAGTTTAGAAACAGCTGTGCCCAAAGCCATACCCAGAAGATGGTGAGTGTATCAAAACGACCAGAGAGGGAAGAAACTACAACTAAGATTGGAAGGGTAGATTTCAGCCATATGACCAGGGCTGGAATGCTTAGCTAAAGAGTTAGGACTTTATCTGGGAAACAACGAGGAGCTGCGGAATGTTCTCAGGGGCACAGGAGTAGACTGAAGGGTGGGGAGGGCGACCAGAAACAAGGAGACCTATTAGGAGGGTGTTAAAACACCGCAGTGTGAGATAGTTAGGTTCTGGCAGAGATCGGGGTTTCTATTAGCATATGAACATAAGAAGTACTAAAAATCAGCAGCTAAGGAGTAGAGTCTGTTGTTAGTTTAATCCCAAAGCAAAAACAGGAGTGGAAATACCAATAAAACTCTGCTACCTGGAGTTCAAGGAGAATCCCCAACCCACCTCTTCCTCAAGAGATTAATCTCAAAAATTTGATATTTATCTTAACATAAAATGCCCAATAAGCCCATTTTGCTTTATTTTGTTTTGTCATCCCTTTCCTTTTGTAACCATCCATTTTATAAGTATTTATTTAACATCTCCTGCCATGGCACCTCACAGCAAAGGCTTGTCATTTTCTATTTTTAGCAAAGGCTTGTCATTTTCTATTTTTAAGCAAAGAAAGAAAAACCTAAAAGTAAACAGAAATTTACATTTGATCAGTGGAGTTCTTTGCTCTCCCACTAGTACATTTAAAGAAATAAATATTTCAAACATATGGCATAATGATCCAAAATATTCAACAGAGAGATGGCAGAATAATTTGATCATTGTTTCAAACTAAGGACTTTTAATTAGTAAGTTTTAAATTAATACACTTAAGAAAAGTAGAGGCTATTAAAGAGAGAGCAACTACTATTTTTAATGGCACTATATGGGCATAAATACTATGTTGGAATTTAAAAGGAATCTCAGATCCTCTAAGGATTTTGAAGTCGTAACTTACACACTGTGTAAGCAATTAAGACAACCATTATTCAGGAGAAAACGGCCTGATCTATATTAACGGAGGCAATTTTCTTAGCAACTTGAGCCGTCTTACAGGACAAGCTAGGCCTATTTTAATTTTACTTTGTGAGTTAAATAAAATTGAACATTATTAATTAAGTTTGGGTGAACATAAAGCAACATGTAGAAATAACCTCAAAAAACAATTTGAGGCCAAAGCATTTTAATTAACATATACGCTGAAAATTCTTCCAAATATCCTGAAATCTGAATATCACAATGCGCAATAAAGCACTGTCTAGCAGTTGTCATTCTTGATCAGCAAAAGGACAGTCACAGACAGTCATACAACACAGAACTCTCTCTATCAACCTTTTTACGCAATTGTAAAAGAATATAGGAAAATAAGAATAACCTCAGTGGCATGATTTATTTACATAAAGATCCTTTTACAGGATACCAACCAAGGAAATGTGGTCGTATTTAGAGGTGAGTAGCAGCAAATGTTACCTCAACAAAGATAATTTGAGCTTTGCTCAAGGACAACCAAAGACATATACATACAGGTGTTCGTGCACACGGGTGTGTGTTACTGAGGTACAACTCACGCAGAATAAAGTGTACAAATTTCAAATGGACAGTTCAATGATTTTTACATAATCATACACCTGGGAAGCCATCAAAACAGAATATTTTCAGCACTCCGGAAGACTGATCCCTCCCAGGTCAAACCTCTATAAAATTCATCTGTGTTGTTTGTTCTTTCTAATTGCTAAGATGCACCACAATTTATGTATTATCTATTCTACTACCAACAGACATTTGGGTTGTTTCTAGTTAGTGGCTATTATTAACAAAGCTACTGTTAACATCTTCTGTATGTTTTCTGTGGACATACGCATTGCATGTATTTTTCTTGAACAGGTACTTAGGACTGCTGGGTCATTAGGCAGGCATATGTTTAGCTTTAGTAGATTCTGCCAAACAGCATTTCTCCTGAAATATTTACGTGAAAATAAATATCTTTCTTCGACATTCAGAATAATTTATTTGGTTATTTCTTCTTTTTATCACATATGTTTAAGTTAGCCTCTAGTGCAATGATTCCTTCCCAGCTCAAATCTCAGAATCACCTGGGAAACCTTTTTAAAGTAGTGATTCCTTGATGCTCCCACACTTTGCCAAACAAAAAACCCTATTGATCAGGGAGGATTAGGAACTACTGTTTCATGACTTATTACCAGAATCAAAACTATAAAGGCAATTATTAGGTTTAAATAATATTTCTTGGGAAAATAAAAACATGTTATGCAAATGTAAGGATAATTTTTATCTAATTTAAATTTGTTTAACTTATTTTCACCTAAAAGTGAAAAGTAAAGTCAGGGGTGTTTGTTCATTAATTCTTTCAATGTTTATCTTCTCTTACTCTGTTTCTAGAGAAAAGTTCTTGATTACATACGGCAACCATTACATTCAAAGGAAATTAGCAAATTCACATCATAGCAATGTTTTTAGCACTGAAAGAATTCCTTTTTAAGAGGGATGAAACAGAGCCCTACAAAGCAACTACATCAGAAACAGGAAAATAAAATAAAGGAAAATGACATCAGAGTTGAAAAGCTGAGATTAAGACTCTTTTCAAAAGATAATGACAATCTGGAACTTAGCACTGAAAAGTCATTTACCTAATATGATAAAAATCATGAAGAAGCTATGGCCTTATGAAAAATTTTTCTACTGCACACACCAACTTCTTGGGTAATGTAAACAAACAAAAATAGCACCAAACCTTCCTCTGCTTCCAAAACAAGGTGCAAAGCCATAGAGACTTTAATTTTCAAAGATGTCATCTAAGCTGGACTGAAAAAGGCAATGAATAAAGTTTGGGCAAACTTATAGATGATACCATAAATAACCTGCAAGAGGATGGAAGTAGGATATACTTGACATAAAACTGACGTCAGAGAAGACATAACCAAACGCTTCTACTGAGTGGACACAAAGACGGACTTTTGGCAATGGAACCAACGGTATATGCCCTTGAACCTCAGCAATCAAGTGCCACAATTTCTCTACATTAAAAAGACTTATTTAGAAGCAGAGTATCAGAGAATCATTAAACTGGAGTAGGAAGGAGACCACACAGGCAAGCTCCTTTTTAAAGGTAAGGAGAAAAAGGCCACAAAAAAAAAGTCTTGGCCCCGCACCAGCAACGTATTTTAACAGACGGCAATTGAAAGACCAAATGCTTAGGTCATCAAGAGGCGTGTCCAGTGTCCAGGAGGTAAACAAGGGAGGGTCCAAGGTATATCCCTCTTGCCTGAGAGGGATGCTAAAGCAAAACAAGAGCCCACAATTCGCCTTTGTGTCTGTACAGGCAGAGCGCACACTTCCCTTCCTGAGCTGCTCCAGAGTCTATCATCATCCTGTGGTTCCATTTCTTTTAAGCACAATACGCATCTCTTTTCCTTTCACACAATGAGTCAGCTTTAGAAACTGTAGTCTCCATTATAAACCACCTCAGTACCTTATGGACGGTTCTTTCAACAAGTGCTGATGCTGTCTTCAAAAAAGTAGCATCTGCCCCCCAAATGATCACCTTTTTTACCCCCAAATGTTCATATTCACGCAACCATGGAAGTTCTTGATATTTTTAAGGTATACCTTAAGCACCAAAATCAAGCTTAAAATTCAACATTTCCTTCATCCTGGATCATTTCAAATCACAACTAAAAAAATAAAAAGGCTGGTTCTTTGCTTTTAATCAATATAATCCCCTAAGAGTCCAAGCATCAAAACATTCAAATGAAATATTTTAGTTTTATGTATTTAGAAGAGATAACTGATCCAGCAAGGTGACTGATCAATTTTCAATTACATCTGGCATCTCAATAAGATGACAAGGCATGTACTTACAACTGGCATTAGTCACCAAATGAGGGATTCATATTTTAAGGATTCCACAAACTTCCAGAACATGTAAATCAGCATTGTTATTCACTAACAAAAGCAGTTTTTTTCCCTTTAACAACAATTCACCTAGACATTCTACACTGCTATAATTTAAAAAGAACACACATAGGCATATTCTAAATGCTCCATCTGAAGTCAAATGGATGACTATAATCAACTAAAAAATTACAAGTAAACAGACTTATAAAAATAGATTTTTATATGAAGTTTGTATATTAAAGATACTCAGTCAAAATATATAATGTATACATAAAGATCTCTTTCTTTATAAGTTCACCTTTAAAATTTTCAGCATATACTATAAAGTTCAGATTTACATGCTTAGTGCTCTGATTTAATTGATGAAGATCATCTCTTTATGTTAAAACAAATTGCTAAAACTAATATTCTAAAGCACAAATTCTTAGTATGAAGTTTAACACACATTATTTTATACTGTATATATTTTATATTTTATATATATATAAATATATATGTATATATTTTATACTTACTACATCAAACTTCTGAGTGATGTTCCCCTGGACATCAAGTAAATAAACTTTGCCATAATGTGTGCCCAGTGCTAAAAACTGTAAGAAGAACAGAAGGGTCAGTTAATTAATGTACTATTAATACACATTCAGTAATAAAACAATTTTTAAAGGCAAGACACTTAATGTGTAAATGATCTGCAATGTCTTGGAAGATATGCATTCCTTGGAGAAGGCTTGTTTCCAGCTTCAGGGAAATAATAGAACAGGGCCTATTTTATTGTGATAGTGCAAGCTAGCTGTCAGAATGACTCATGAGGACCCTCATCTACTGACAACTAATGGTGTGTATGCAGTCTGTACACAATGCCTGATGGACTGAGGCAGTAAATTAAAAATGCAGCTGTGAAAGCACGACCCACCTACAGCTGAACTCTAAGTCAGAAGGGAATGATTAAGAACTCCCCCTAATTTATGGCAAATGTGTAAATCTGTGCTATTGTTTAAGTTCAATGCACATATGAATACAAACAACAAAATATTATTTTTTAGAATGGAAAATCCATGCCATATTGACTGGTAGAAAATATGCTTATATTATCAGTTAGCTTTAGGATACCTCTATAAAAGTTAATGCATAATATTGACTATAAATGTTTGTATTCTAATGCAAAAAAAAAAAAATCCTTGTCTGTCACAAAATAACTGTTGGAGTATATACTTATTTTGTGATATAAAACTAGTTCATAACTCCCACTATTTCTTTAATTCTCTGAACTAACCCTAAATGAACCAGAAGAAACTTTAGAACTACCTGAAATACAACATGATATTCTTCTTCCTTTTTATTTCTTTAAGCATTACTCAAATAGTCCAAAATTCTCTGTATTTCATTGCATGTGAGCATGCTTCATTGCAACCTATAATGAAATGCTCAAATTTACAGGCACTACTAAGCGTTTCAGTCAAGCAGCACAATCTTTAAAAAATAACCTTACAGAAAGTCAAGATTTAAAAGGATTTATCAAAATGGAATTGCTTAAAGTGAAATTTCAGCTCAAGCCCTTAAAATATGAAGCTACATTAAAGAGGAGTCACAAAAAGGAAAAAAAGGGGTTCATTAGACATTCATCCCCTGCAATGCCTTTCACTCCTGCAAGGTTGCCTTTTTTCAGGAAGAAAAAAGTCCCCTGGGTAAAAAAATCAATACTGGTTAATAAAACATCAGGTGTGCAGACATAACTAGGTATGACGATTCCGCTGCACAGGCCTGCCTGAATGCACCAGGTGCCATGACGATTAGTCATCCGGGGCAGACAGCAAGCCTGGTGAAAACAGGATGCTTGGGCTCTGGAAGGGAAAAGGGGAAGAGGTAATTCTGGGGGGAAATTAGTCTGAATATTTAAACCAAACAGGAATGTTTCCTCTAAAGCAAAAGAACATTCTAATCAGAAAAAGAGGACTAAAAAATTGTATCTCTTCAGTGACACTCTGACAATATTCGAACACATATAATAGCAACCAAAAAGAAACAAGACTCCATTCTGAGGCTGTGGTTAAAAACAAAAAAGGGTCTTAAAAGCTCACTGTACCCCAAGTATCTCACAGTATTGATTCTCCTCATAAATACTGTATTTCGTTTGTTAGGAAACTAAGAGAGCTTGGATCCTCAAAGTGTTTTAATACTGTCTCATTCTCCAACACCTCTGTAAAGGCCATTTTTGAACTTGTAATTACATTTTAATTTATGGAAGTTTTAGAGGTTCTATGAAGGGCACACTACCTAAATATTAATTCCTTCCTCTCCTTTTTTCCCCCAAAATTGCTAATTTCATTTATTTAATGTTTAAGATAGACAGAAAACATAAAATAATTATTTTGATTTTATAGTTTCCACCTAAAACTACAATTACTTTAGAACATGTTTGAAAAAAAAATTCACAGTGATTTTTACGACAAGCTATCTTTTGTTTAGGAAAACACTTCATCATTTAGATTGGATAAATTATTACTACTCCTTTTAGAAATAATCATGTACTCTTAAAAAAAATTTAATAAGGGCCGGCCTGGTGGCGCACTGGAGACGCCGCGCTCCCACCGAGGGGAGGGTTCGGATCCCATGTGGAGACCGGTTCCCGCTCACTGGCTGAGCGCGGTGCGGGCGCAACACCGAGGGTTGCAATCCCGTTGCCGGTCCCCGGTACGGGCGCAACACCGAGGGTTGCGATCCCGTTAACGGTCAGTAAAAAAGAGACAAAAAGGAAAAAAAAAAAAATTTAATAAGCCTATCATATTTATTTAACTACTAAAATTGTGATGAGTCATATTTTCATTTGCTAATGCTTTCAAGTACTGAAAATACAACAAAAAATACAAAACTGACCATAAACGTGACCAAAAAAAATACATATATAACATAAATACATATGTGAGATAAATACAAATCCTTCAAATTTCACTCTCCTTCCAGCCATAAAAAGCTTTGAGTTTTTGTAACTATTGAGTTTCATTTCTTTTTATTAACCTGAAAGCACTTAAAATCTAGGATAGGCAAAGAATAAATATAATTTCATTAGCTTCTTTCATGTTTAATTACAGAAAGTTGACTGATTCTATAAACTATCAGATTGGACATCCCATCCTTCAGAATCCACTAAGCACAACTGCTTCTACTTCGAATGAGTGGACTTAATGTAAGTAAACAAGGAGAAGAAGTAGTGAGCCGTCCTCTGGACATCACTAACGAAACAAGAAGCAGCACATTTCAAATTTGGTCAGCTGTACAACATCATTTGCCTTTGACACAGTATTTTATAGTAGTCAACGCATTAGAGCAGGGGGTGCCTGCAATTATAGATGAGGAAATAAGTCCGAGCAGCTGATGAGACTTCCCTGGAAACAATGAGTGGCAGAGTGAGGGCCAGAATTAAAAGCTGAAATGCCCTCAACTGGATCCGAATCCTCTTAAACAGAAACAGAAACCTCAGATTAAGAGTGTGTGTTCTAAAAGTTAGCATCAATTACCATTCCCAGCTATCAGGCTTTTGGGTCAAGTTGGCTTAAGGATGGTGTTAGTAAAGGCTGATCTCTAGGCAAGCAAACTTCATTCTCCGTTTCATTCATTCAGTGGTTCATTCAACAAACACACGAAAAGCACTATATAACGTGCTTAGACAGTGAGGAAGTGTGACTTAAAAGGATTGTGGTATAATGGAAAGTTATTAAAAAAAATTGATAAATTACAACTAAATTTAAAGAGTATGCCTAAACTGGAAGTGTCTCTAAGACCCTATGAAGCACAGGAAGTGTCTTCTGTGCTGAACATTTAAAGAAGAATTAGAAAATACACACCGAGGCCTATAGGGTAGGCTTGCGGTAAAGACCATTTTAGGCAGAGTAGATACAACTTTCTCAAAGGCATGGAATTACATAAAAAGCAGTACAAACTCAAGAAATTATAGCAGTTTTATATGGATAAAGCATCTAATCCATGCCCGGGGGAAAACAGGTGATAAGGTTGGAAAGGTTGGCTAGTAAGGGGCATTCAAATATTTATGGAGACATGACAGGCAGGAAAGTAGAGGAAGGCAGAGTGGGTAGGTCCAAATCATTAAGATATCAGGAAGCCAATCACACTTCTAAGAAGGAGGATCACATGATTAGATCAGAATTTCTGAAAGATTACTTTAGCAGAACTGTTATGAATAGACAGGACTGAAAGCAAATCTGAAGGAAAATCGATAGTTCACAGTATGTGCATTAGTTCCAGGAAGAAAGGATGAATGCATGAACAGAAGAAAAGCGCTCAAGGTGGGAGTGGATTCAAGCAGGTGGGAAGGGGTGAGGGGCAGAATCCATGCAGGAGGGGCGCTGTAAGTAAAGACAGCCAAGTGCTGCTGCCAGAGCACCACACCTCCAGCAGAAAAGTGGTAAGACATAAGGCCGATTACAGATGGGGCAATATCTTAGAGGGCCTTACATACCACATTAAGGAGCTCAGACTTTATTTAGTACGTGGTGAAAATTATACAAGGGTACTAAAACATGTATTTTCAACAGATCATTCTGACAACCAGGTGGCAGACGGGTTTAAAGTAGAAAAATTAGGGGCAGAAGAGATTCCCCTATTTACCAAGAGCAGGCAGGAGACGGGGGCATAAGCTAGAGCAGGGTGGTAAGAAAACCACCAGGATATAGGGAATGGCTGGGTGGGTGGGGAGAAGGAGTCATCTTCAGCTTAGGTGACAAAAGAGATGATGATACCACTAAATGGGATAGAGAAAAAAAATGAATACAAAGTTTGGACAGAAAAGAAGATGAATTCATTGTGGACATGCTGAGGTTTAGGTAAAAACATAATAAGTTAGAGATGTTTAGGAGGCACCTAGATTGTATGCATGGTATTCTTGTGAGGGTCAGTGTGTAGGTGGTCATAGAAATCATGAGATTTAAAACCAAGAGAAAGTACAAATTAAGAAGAAATGTGGATGATGGAGCAAATCTTGGGAAAACCAACATAAAAGGGAAAGATGGAGGTAAAGGACAGTGAAAGAAACAGAAGGGCATATCAGAAATGATCAAGAAAACAAGATGATGGTGTTGTGATAAAGAAGTTTTGAGAAGAAAGGTGAGATCCACATTTAAAATCAGCAAAATGTCCATCAGCTGGTGAATGGATGGACAAAATGTAGTACATCCATACAATGGAATACTATTCAGCAATGAAAAAGAATGAAGTCCTGATACATGCTCCATCATGGATGAACCTGAAAACATTATGCTAAGTGAAAGAAGCCAAACACAAGAGATCAAATAATGACTGCATTGATATGAAATATCCAAAATGGGCAAATTTACAAAGATCTACTTTCTAAAGTAGATTGATGGTTACCTGGGGGCAGCGTTAGGTATGTTCCATGACACAGCATGTATCTCTAGGAGAGAAGGGAGGAAATGAAGTAAAGAACAAGAGTGGACACAAAGGTCCTTGAACAGGAAGAAAACCTCCTGTGGGTAAGGATGAGCATGGATTCAGAGGAGTTGGGAAAGGGGTCAGTAGTTGTGGCTGATGATGCTGATGGTTTCTATTTTCTAAAATGGAACTAACATCATCCTTTGAGATGAAGGAACAGTGGTCGAGAAAGGGGACTGAGGACTAAAGGAGCTGATGAAGGACAAATAGATCACACCAAGTTTTAGTAACGGATTGGCTTTGGCATGTGAGCCTGCACCTGCTTGTGGCTGCCTTGGTCATTAGAGCACTGATGCAGAGTTGAGAGCATGGCTGAGGGGCACAGTGGAAAGACAGGGATGTAAAAGGATTGAAGAGTAAAGTAGAGTTAGGATCATTAATCATTTCATAGAGACAGAAAATAAATGAAAAAGAAAGAATGAATTAGAGATCAGGACTCCATAAAGTCAAAGAACAAGGTTTGTGGGAAAATGAACACAAAAGCTTGAAGGATGAAAGGGGTCAACAGAGAGTGGAACAGACCCTAGAGATCCTCAAGTTCCAGGTACTGGCACCATCCAGAGTGTGGCCTTAATAGTGGGAGATAAAACAGGGAAGAGGTGAAGGTCCCTGGAATTAAATTAGGTTGAAGAACTAAGTGCAAGGCCAGCCTTCAACGAGTGGAAGAAAGTGACCAGTGGTGGGGAGATGGCAGCAAGGGGGAGGGTAGATGGTGTTGCAGGCAAATGGCAGGAGCCTCAGGGAGGGGGTTTCAGGTAAAAGGAGAGAGGGCAAATGTTCAATTAAAGTGGGGAGCAAGGGGAGGACCAGGCAGCACTGCTGGTAGCACTAGAGAAGGCCCGGGCATGGGTCAGAGGTGGGGTCTGCCTTCTGTGGAAGGACTCAGGTTCACTCACAGGCTCCTAGGGAGGAGACAACAATGGCTGAAACTGCCTCCTTCCAATATTCCAACCACAACACAGACCGCGGTGGTCCAAGAATAGGCTAAGGGTGCTACCCAGTACTCAGCCTGGACTCGGGAAGTTGGTGGGAGCTTTGTTATAGCAAGGACCCAAATGTGGGAGATACGAATTCATTCACATAATATATAAGTAATAATTTGGGGAATCTCTACTGATTTGTACTGATTCCTCATACCGCTGACGTAACTGACCTCTTCTACCCTTACGAAAGCACTGAGCTCCACACTGTTTCAAATCTTAACACATTCCTAACCTAATCCTTACGATTTGAGGAATTAAGTGACAGAGTTTCCAAGAACACTTACCATAAATCTTTCACATAGGTCACTGTCTAAATTGTACTTGACACATACACCCTTGGAGTGCACTGTAGGTGTGTGGGTTGGTATGTACACACATACAAAATATTTTGGGTTGTTTTTTGTTGGTGAGAAAGAAAATAGGAGAAGCAGCAGGGAACATGGTCACTGTAGAAAACCACCACCAAAAGCATCAGGGCTCCAAAGTATAAACACACAATAGAAACAACTCACAGGACAGTCCTCTGAAAGTGCCACCTCACCTTGTCATGCACTGTCATGCAGCTAGCTGCATCCTTCTGAAGAATTTCAGTCACCCCATTGGAAAGCCTTTCATACTTCAGTTTGGGCTCCTCTTCACTCTCTTCTTCCTGCATAAAAAGCAGAGAAAAATGACAGCCTACACGAATTTATTTGTTTTGAAAGACTCAAATACACTTCTTAAGGGGGAACCAGAGATGGTTCTCTCAACAATCGTCAATAACTACAACTATAGCCAAAGGTTAAGATCTTCGTGTTTCATTCTACCAACTGGATGTATCAACTGCTACAACTTCATTGATAGAATAATTCGAAAGTTGAAAACAGGAGTATAGCAGTCCCCTCCCCTTATCCAAGGAGATACGTTCCAAGACTCCCAGGGGAGGCCTGAACCCATGGACAATACTGAACCTGACTACCAGCAACTGGAACAGGTTTGTATACACATCTTCCACCCACAAATTTAACGCCTTTTCCATCTTAACTAAGCACTTAGCAAACACTGTGACCTTAACTTTTTCAACAGCAAAACTAGCACGAATTTCTTTTTCTTTCTTCACAATTTCACAGATATAAGATTCATTCCAGAATCTCAGCAATCACAGCATATGATTTTTCTTCTTTCCTCATTAAGTCAAGAACTTCTACCTTTTCCCTTAAGAGAAGCACTTTACAGCTTCTCTTTAGCATATCTGAATTGCCAGCATCACCGATCTTAAGCTTTGGGGCCATTACTAAGTAAAATAAGGGTTTTAAATGTGTTTATTTAGCAGATGCTTTAGGCATAATTTGTTATGTAGCAATATCTATTATGCCAAAACTTACTGAGTTAAAACAATACTAAATACGTATTATTTTACACAGTTTTTGTGGGTAAGCAATTCAGCAGTGGCTTAGCTGGGTGGTTCACTCAAGATCTCTCATGGGGTCTCAGGTAAGATGTCGGCCAGGGCTGTAACCACGGCTTGACTGGGGTTAGAGTATTTGCTTCCAAGATGGCACACTCGAATGGCTGGCAAGTTGGTGTTGGCTGCTGGCAGAGGCTTCAGTTCCTTGCCTCACAGACGTCTCCACAGGGCTGCTTGAGTGTCCCCAGAATATAGCAGGTGGCTTACTCCAGAATGAGTGATCCAAAAGACAGCAAAGTGGAAGCCATATGTTTTACATGACCCGGCCTCAGAGGTTGCACACTGTTAGTTCTACTCTATTGAACACACAGGTCAGTCATGATTCAGTGTGGAAGCGGAGGACACAAGGGCATGAATAAAAGGGGGTGAGGATCACTGGGGGCCATTTGCAGGCTAGCTATATGAATAATAGTAAGACTTCAGGCGCAATAAACCTAGTTTTAAGAAAATCAGCATTCCACACCTACCGATGAGTTGTCTTAAATTTATTTCCTCAAGTGTACATAAGCTATTACTTGTTTATTCAGTAACAGAGTATTAAAAGCAAAGATGGTGTACCTACTATCAACTTCCCAAGAATAACTTTAAGAACAGCAACAAAAGAGAAATATAATAAGCACAGTTCAAGGACCTGCAAATCTTCATAAAAAGGTACCTAATGATAATCACCCCAACCCAAAGAGCTGTTTCACCCCAAAACTGACCTGTTTTTAATATATTTATAAATATATAAAATAGCTATTTAACCAAGTCTAAAGAAACTTGAAGAAAGAAAATTATATAAAGCAACAAATAACTACTTCTACTTACGTATTTACAAGAAAGAAACAGAAATCATTACAAAGTTAACATTAATGTGGCACAGATGATGTGTGCATTCAAAGTAAATGTGTTAAATACAAATTGAATCCTGAGTGTTAGTCTCTATAATAAGATGCCACATGTTGCACAAGTCTGGACATCAAATGTGCATCCAATGTGAAAAGTTAATTCTAGCCTCCTGACTATTTTGCATAAAAGCACTCGTCTACGGACCATTAAAGTTACTGTAAATAAGGTTTGCCTGTCTTATTTATAAGTGAAAACTAAATAATTTCTCTCACATAAGTATACAAAAATAAATACTTTCACAACATAGTTCACTGAAGCATTCATGCTAGGTTTCAAAAACCATAAATAAAATGAAAACTCCAATATTAAGCACTTGATGTACGATTTCATGCTTTTCCAACAGGTATCTTTTATGTTAAAAACTGGCTAAAGGTGAATTTTTAAGGTTTTTTTCTCCTTGCTATGAACAAAGAAAATAGAATGCGATTTGAAACTACAATTCACAGAGGTTATTCTGCTGCTGCAGACTCTATGTCATATTTTAAAAAAAAAAATTTTTTTTTAAATCAAGTAAATTTAATAGAGTTTCACTTTAATTCAAAAAACTTTAAACAGATGCGATTTGAAACTACAATTCACAGAGGTTATTCTGCTGCTGCAGACTCTATGTCATATTTAAAAAAAAAAAATTTTTTTTTAAATCAAGTAAATTTAATAGAGTTTCACTTTAATTCAAAAAACTTTAAACAGAAAAAAAGGCTTTCATCCAGTTTGGACTTCCATGGTAAACAACCCAGTGTTAATAAAAAGTAAATCAATAATTTTTGTTAAATTTTAATAATCTTACAAACCTACAAATAAAACCATCAACAGTCTGAGTTGAGATGACAGTTAACTGTGTTTCTATGCCAACCTAGAGGAATAGTACAAGTCCTGACTTGCAGCTAAGTGAAGATATAAACAGAGTGACATTTAACAATACAAGAAAAATTTGCAGATTTCCTTTAAAAAGAATCAATTCCTCAACTAACATGGATTTTTACTAAGTGTATAACACTTTTAATTAAAGACAAATCCTTTAAACCATCCTACAGAATTCTAGAACACTATCTAAAAGTAAACATATCATGGTCATTCTCACTGAGTTTTAAATTTAAAAGGGAAAAAGTTACTTTTGAGGATAAATTAAAACAACTAAAGATTTCTGCTTGAAAAACTGTTTAGTAATTTGTTACCACTGTTAATTTATTACCATAGGGTAAATTCTCATGGAGGAAGTCCTGTATCTAACTTGGACTTGTAAACCAGTAAGAATACTGCACTTCTCTTTTTTAAAATTTGTGTACAAGAAATCCCTTTTTTTGGTGTTTATAATCAATGGATCCTACATTTTTTATCCTATTTTAATTTTATCTATATTTTTCACACATTAGTACATTTTATATGATACCACTGTTATGGTCAAAATGAAGACTTGAATTATACTATTAAAAAATGTGTGTCATATGAATTCTAGGGGCTAGCAGAAAGATCATTACATTTTCTATTGTTACTACAAAAATAGTAACAAAAGAATGACTTAAATTATTTAATTAAATTTAACTTAAAATTTTATTTCTGGATATGACTTATTAAAATCAAGGTTTTTTTTTTTTTTTCTCAACATAAAACAATATTAAATACACTGAAGCAGAGAGGTGAGATTCTTACAAAGCCCAAATTAAGCTAGCAGGAAATATAACAGTGGAGTACTCCTCGACAATTCACAATGTCACTCACTCAGTGGAGATGTCCTTTATCCTATGCAGCTGCACCTATGAGAAAGACCTCAGCTGAACCTCCAGGAATCTTAACAAGATAAATGGTTTATTACTAAGTTTCATGTCATCAACTACATCTAACTAGGGGCAAATCTACTTAACAAATATCCAATGTTTTAAAGCTAGATACAATAGGGAAACACTAACATCCTCAAAAGATTCTTGTGTGTTTAAAAAAAAAAAAGCTTTCATGCAGTTTTTACTTCTACGGTAAAAAAAACAAAGTGTTAATAAAAAGCAAATCAATAATCAACCATAGATATGAAGGTGTAAGATTTTCTTCCTCTAGAACATTCTCTCTAAACTCTAATTACCTTAAAGAGAACTGAAATATTCAAAATTGGTAGTCAACCTTACAAGTTTAATATATAAAAATAGCTATCAACATCCAATATCACAACACTTGAATTTTAGAAAATTTGTATTTTTAAAATATTCTCTTTACAAGTAATTCACTTCATAGAGGCCCCATGATATACTAAAGTATTTCTTTTTGATTACTATTTATTAGACAAGATAGAGAACAGAATATAAAACATAGTTTGTGCCAAATACAAACAAGAATTTTTTTTAAAGAAGCATAATTTAAATTAATACTGTAAGTCAATCAAAACACATAATTGAGTCTCAAAAACACAGCTGACAATATTTTAAGGAACAGATCTACTCACTACCACAGGATATTATTAAAAAAAAAAGGCAAAATAAATACATAAGAACTATATTTTATTGGACATACACATTTATTTGAAAATATATTATCACTAAATTTACATGTATAATATAGGACATCTTAAAATACGTCACATGGACCTTGAACTTTTCCAGAAAGTGTAGAAGAAATACATGATGAGAAAAAAAATATATATATAAAAAGACCCTGAAGGTAAAGCTCAAGATTAATCAAGAGCTAATGACTTTAATTATCTTTACATTGCCCACTGCCCCACACCCCCAAATGAATGTTAATTCCTTAAAAAGGCAACTGCAACTACTAATTATCATGTATTATAGTTCTATTACAGAAAGATCATTTTATTTATATAAAAGGACAAATATCTGGTAGGAAAGATGGTTTTATAGATCCTTGTAAAGTGTCAAAACATCAAAAAAACTACACACGCAAGCTGAGAGAGTAACTTCTGGTTTTCATTAATAACACAGGTATTATAGCTGCCTCAGTGACCAAACTTTTTAAGTAAGTGACATGGAGATAGACAATGGAACTCATCTACAATAAAACAGCTATGGTTAAAAAACTTCTGGTTTTCATTAATAACACAGGTATTATAGCTGCCTCAGTGACCAAACTTTTTAAGAAAGTGACATGGAGATAGACAATGGAACTCATCTACAATAAAACAGCTATGGTTAAAACTCCCAGGACGCCTTTACATCAGACTGCCAACAGATAAGCAATTACATTCTTATACGAATGTAAATAATGTTCTTTAATTTCTTTCAAACAATATTGCTATTAAGGAAAAATATATTAATAAAAAAGTAGCTGAAATTAGGAGTTGATAAATGTAATCTAGATGGCACAGGTCT